AACTCTAAGCTTTGTCTTGTTTGAATTTTTCCCTTTGACTCAATGTTCAAACTTTGCCACTATGTTATCCACAAAATATACTTGTATTATGATACAAATGTTATTGTCCAAGAAAGCTCAAAACCATGTCAAAAATAGTTTGTTATACTGCTATAAAACAGCCATGCACTAAGCTGCCACAACACTCCAAAACTGCTGCAAAACAGCTCTGCTATGCTACCACTAACCCATTCCAAGTCTGCATTATCTCAGTCCCATATTTGTACGAAATTAGCACATAAGAGCTGCATCAAAAAGCAATAGAACAATATACCCAAACTGTTGGTGTAAGCCCTAGAGGCCAATACTTTTGGTACTTGTATCGAATTATTTATTAAATAATAAAAGACATTTCTTTATTATGTTTGCTTTCCAAAATAATAAAGTCCCTAGAATGGTTTATTTGTTTAATGAAATGTTAAGTGTGACTTAATCATGAGATCCCATTAAACATAAGACATTATTCTTAAAGTATCTGTAGTCAAGCTTTAATGTGAAGTGGGATAACATTAAAGCATTAAGATTATTATGAAGATAGATTGATGATCACATCTCATGGATCATAGATAAGGAGTTATCAAGTCTTGACATAGGTATGAATATTAGGAGTAATATTTATACTGGATTGACCCGCTATGAGAATACTACATAGAATGTTATGCAAAATGTCATAAGTTATTCTCATGATGATAATGGTGTATACCACCCTTCGACCTGAAACCACTATGGACCCTAGATGTAGAGTCAAGTACTTTATTGCTGATCAAACATCATCCGTAACTGGATGACTATAAAGATGGTTGATGGGTACTTCACAAAGCATGCTAAGGGACATGAGTGACCTAGATGGAATTTTCTCATCCTGCATAACAGGATAAATGTCTAAGGGCCCAATATTGAACTGGACAAGGGTGACACAGTGTATGCCTTGTGTTCAATATAGATATGAGGGAAAAAGGGTAATTGTACAACACAAATATTATCACGGAAAAGGTTTGGTCAGATCACATGACATTTTCGTGACTTGGGTAACAGTGATGTGTTGCTAGATACCGCTCACTGTTTATTATATTAAATGTGTGATTTAATATAATTGCCAACGTCACGAAAACCTACAGGGTCACACACATAAGGACAAGTTGATGAGAGATAGAATAAATAAGGAACACCGTAAGGTACGATGCACTTAAGTGTAATACGGAAAGTGGTAAGGTACCACGTGGATAAGTGATATATAGTACATCATAAGGTATGATGTCCATAAGCTTAATTGGGCTTTTAGCTTATAGCCTTAATTGGGCTTTTAGCTTGTAGCCCACACGAGTGATTCTATAAATAGATCCCTTGTGATGAAGCAATTTCACTTGATGCAATTTCGTTTTTGATTCTCTCTCTCACTCAAGGTTTCTGTTTGTGGTCAGCTAGCACTGTGACCAGAAGCGATTTGTTCGTGTGGACTGAGTAGAGGCGTTGTTCTTCATCAACGCTCGTGATCACAACATCAAAGGTCTGAATCGCCACAAGAGGTAAATATTTCTATCACTGACCATGTTCATTCGTAAGGATCGCTAAAGGAAAATTTTAAATTCCGCTGCACTTTTGATCGCAATTTTCCTTCACAAACAGTTCAAAAACTTATTTGTTTTCTTCCTAAATCTCAGTCAAGTCCATCTATAAATAGACTGTTTTTTACAACACACAAAGGATTGGTTTTTAAAGAGGGGAGAGAGAAGAGAAAAAACAACATTCTTTGTAAACTCTACTCATTCACAAAAGATCCTTGCTCATACTCATCTTTGTTTTCATTCACCAAAACAGAATCTTAACCCATTATTTCATCTTGCAAACCCTCCCATAAACCAACCAGCCAAACACTTTAACATCACATAGAGATTGTTCAAACACAAGAACAATTTCTATAGTGCCATTATCTTCACCTTCCAAACACAAAAACAGTATTGTACAACTTGACTGGGTTGGTGTGGTTCAAACAACTTGGAACAACTTCTTGGAGGTTCACTAAGGCCCTCACAACTTCTTGAAAAGTATTCAGACTCAAAACACTAAGTGCAGTCTCAAGGTAAGTCTTCTTGACTTTGCATTTTTCATACATCACTAATGATTCATTCTTGAAGATAAAATGTAGTAATCATTGTCCCTTTGAGCTAACCATTTTCTTGCTATTCATTTTTTATCAATCATATGCTGTGAAATGACCTGTATACACAGTAGAATAATGTCAGAGGCAAAAAACTGCAGCATGAGTCGACACATACTCACATGAGTCAACTCATTCTAGTGACAAAACAGGGTATGAGTCGACACATGGTCTTATGCATCGACTCATACTGTTATCCAGACCCCAAAATAGAAGAATGAAAGGTGCATGAAAGGTGCATGAGTCGACACAAAATACGTATGTGTCAACACAAACAGGTGCTTGAGTCGACACATCCCATTATGCATCGACTCATACTGAGTTTATTTTGTTTTACAGGAGCAGGAATAATTATGTGTCGATGCATAGCAACATTGTGTCGACACATAATATTTCAAAATGCAATTTTTTTTCTTTTTACACCGTCTTTACATTTTTCACAGATTTTCTTCATTAATGTCCAGTTATTCGATATAGTTGTAATAATTATACATCTACTTCATCCTCATTTGTGAATTGTACTCCCACTCCCCTAATAATGTAATAGCGCAGAATTTTAATTTCCGCAAATTTATCACTTTTCATATAATTGTTAGTAATTAGGGTGTGTATGGCAAGATCCGTTAGAAAATCCTAATCTCAAAGACAATGCATGCAATCAAAACACAATTCAGACAAGCACCTTTAGGTTAACCTCGCTTGTTGTCTCGAAAATAGTCATGTCCCTCGAATATGGGCGCTTTAGCAAAGACCCTCGATAAAAAAAATCGTAGTCCCTCGATGACTCTTCGATGTTGCCTTCGGTAAAACGATCTTAAGTCCCTACGAAAATTGCTAAAGCGTCTCTATAACTATACGATTGAACCACGCCCGTCCTTTCACATCCAATGATGGAGTTTCTTACCAATCAATGGTAAGATAGCAACATCTAAAGGAGGAGGAAAAGAACAAAGACCTTTTGAGTAGGTAGGACGCTCGTAGTTGCTTGCTCGCCAAACTAAAAACCATTTTCACACTCACACTTTCAAAACATCTTTAAAAAAAACATCTCTTTGAACTATTTTCAAAACCAACACTTTGTATGCATTCTTATAGAGACGAGAATCATTAGAAAATTTGCCGAAACAAAGACGTTTTCAAAATATTTTCAAACTCACACCAATCAAAAACACATTTCAAACAAAACATTTCAAAGTGATCAAGCAACTAAGAGTCCGTAGATAACTACGGATGGAAGGGTGCTAATATCTTCCCTTTTCATAATCTACCCCCTGAATTTAAGAAAATATCTCGAAAGGTCTTTCCTGTTCTTTTCACAATTTTCTTTATTGGATAAAAGAAAAGTCGATGATCACTCTTGCTATCCGTGACATTTACGATAAAACACAAAACACCAAAGTCAGTTCTCCCACCATATTACATACACCATAATTATTATCATAAAAGATGACTTATCTACTTTATCAAGGGCTTACAAATCTTTTCTATATTATTAACACATTCATTATTACACTCATTACACATATATCATTTATTATTATTATATCTACTTACACTATTACACTTACATTTATCTATTTAAATACATGATTTATCTACTTACCTCATTTATTATAGACTTTTATTACAATGTCATCCATCACTCTCATATTTAACACTCTAGTATTTAAATACTATGAAATCATTATTTTATACACTTTTATATTTTATACATTCTCATATTTTATATTTTATACATTCTCATATTATATTCTCACTATTATAATGAAAAAAAAATGAAATGATAGAACGAAGAGCATGCTTCTGTGTGGTTATCATGTGATGTAAGACTATCTATGCGACATTGTGATGAATTTTTTTATTTTTAAAAAATGGACCTATGTTGATTGGGGCTACCTTTATGGACAAGTAGCCAACCCGAAACACCAACTTTACTATAAAAATTGAAATTTTAGATTTTATTTATATATTTCAAAATGAATGGTACAAAATGATTTGAAACAAAAAGGAAATTTTCATTCTATTGTTAAAAAAACAAAATAGGAAACATTATAACTTTTTTATTTTTATTTTTATTTTTATCTTTATTTATAAAAAAACGATATCAAGTACAACTAATGAAAAACATTAGTATAACTTTTCAATTATATAACCACTCACGAGAAAGTGCAACAAAGAACTAGAAAGAAAAGGAAGCTGCAAAACAAGGACTCTTGCAAGAAGAAACAACATAAAAAATAGAAGAAGAAAGTGTTGAAAATGTTGAAATGAAAAATAGGGGTATAAGCTTAATTATTTAATCAATAAGTTCCATTTCATTGCATACCTCCAAATTGGAAGAAGAAATGGATGGACATACAAATAAGTTCCATCATATTCCTATAATACTCAAACCCGAATAATAGAATTTGATTTCATACCACTCAAATTCATTCTCATCCATTATATTCTATCGATCCAAACATAACCTTAAATTAGATCCAACATGATATAACAGAGATCCAACATGAGCTACAGAAGGACAACTAAGCGCAACGCAGTCTGATGCACAAACAAGGAAGCCATTGTTACATTCAAACTCCGAATCAAAAACTTGAAAAGAAAGATTAATCCTTCACTAAACATAAGTGCACAGAACAATCATCTGCAAATTGAACAAAGTGCTACAAGTGCTGGAAGCTAAGGATCAAGACATTAGATAATATAACAAGATAGGAATGGAAATCATAGCTTATTCAGCAACATGGTAATACATAAGCCATTTTCCATGTTTCCGAGATTGAGAATATAAGTTATTATACCTCTAGTCGAAGTCGTCGATCCAATCGCCGTATATCCTACTGATTTTATCTGGACCTTTCCACTTGTGATGAGCTCTCTGTCCTGGCTGCTGACTCACAATGGAAGGTCTCTGTGAAGGCACTCCAATATGATAAACATCTGAATGAGCAATAGGTGGAGTTGATGCAACCACATTATCAGCGTGATTTTTTGAAAATACTCCCTGTTTTGCGTCGGAGGCAACAACAGAAACACCATCTCTGATTTCTCCTTCCATAAGCCCACCTCCATATCTGTGTAACTCTGCAGTCACAATATTAACGTCAAATTTACATAAAATAAAAATAGCTTATAAGTCATTTTTATAGATAATCAATTTAAAATCAAACTGAGAAATTGTTCTCAAGTGTAATGTATACGTTCATAGTTGTTCTCAAGTGTAATGTATACGTTCATAGTTGTTCTCAAGTGTAATGTATACGTTCATAGTTGGATTGACGGTGAAATTGACAGGATCCCGATGACTCGCTGCAATTTTGGCAAAAGCTACACTTTGAGACTTCAACAAAATCAGTGTCATTGAGATATTGCTAAGCTCTCCGTCAATCCAAACATGCACATAATGCACAAGGCCAAACACCAAAGAAATGAAAGTATGAAGTGGTATTACAATCATTTATCTCAAATGTTAGTCCTTAGTATGTGTATCATTTAAAGAAGTTTTCTTTCCTTTTCTTTGAAACAAAATAAAAAAAGGGTACTGTGAGCACTTTGTTGCGGATTCTACTGTGAGCAGAGCAATTGCCAAAAGTTACATCAGTGTAAACTTTGATTTCTTACAGGTCTCTTTATTAGATCCAGTGTTGTCTATTCCAGATCACAAAGAAAAAAACAACTTGTTCAAATTCCACTATGCTACCGAGCTAAGTGCTGCTCTAGATGCTATTTGACAACAGTATGTACGAAATAACATATCGAAGAGCAATAGCGGTTTGTTAAAATTCTGCCACGTGATCAAGGTGGTACTGGTAGCACAGTTATAGGCACCATCTGAAAACACATACAGACATACTAGTTCTAAGCTGCCATCTATTCATTCTGAACCCATCACCCATGAAACTATTCTTTTCTCATCTATTCAGATAATGAAGCATACAAGGCATATGAAAAGTATTCGCAACTAAGGAAAGAAAACTCAATGTAAAGTGCACAATACTTGGAAATTATACTAACAGAATTAACTCAAGTTCTTCTCTATTGTAAATTTAGTGATAAAAACAATCTCACAATACCCAAAGATCGTATTCAAATGGTAAGTAAACATTGAAACAGCTCCAAAGTACAAATTATTCATAAATTTCCAATTCTAGTATCAGCCCTTTATAACCTATCTATATAAGAAATTCATCGATTCATGAAAATGAATCATACCTGTAGCACCATGAGCAAAATGGCATTTGTTACCAAAGGGGCAATACCCAGTCATCTCCCACTTATTACAAATCCTAGTTTTCCAATTCGAAGGCTTCAAATTCGGCCCACTCCCAGCTGCCGCTGCACCAGCCGCAACAACAACAACACCACTCCCACTACCACCACCACCGCCACTACCAGAACTACCTCCACCACCACCACCTCCACCACCATAACCACCAGGACCTAAACTTATAGCAACACTTTCGCGATTCTTCGATTGCTCATCATGAAGAAAAGTGCAACTATCTCCATAAGGACAACCTTCCTCAGTATAAAACTTCTTACAATGCCTACCCTTATACGACCTATTATTCATACTCTCCCCAACAAAAGTACTCGACCCCACCGTCGGAATCTGAAACTCCTCCCTCGGCTGCTCAAGCACGTTCCTCTCTTCCTCATGCGCCGCCACAATCTCCTGCCAATTCGCCGGCGGCCGACGAAGCTCCTCAACACTGTGAGCAAAGTTACAATTCGTTATGTAAGGACAAGTCCCCACGCGAAACTTGCAGCACAGTTTCGTCTTGAAGAACATCTTCCCTATCGCTTTCGCTCGATTGGATCCACCGCCATTTCCTCCGTCTTGCGAACTGCTTCTCGATTTCTTGTTCGGCGGCTCGCTCCCCGAACGCTGTTGTCGCTCGCAATTGGAGTTTGAGGATGGAGTGGTTTCGCCGGCTTCGTTTCCGTTCCAGTAGCGATACTCGTCTTCCGTCGCCCAATCTGCTTGGTCACTCGACCAGCTGTCAGCACCGCCACCGCCGGTGATGATTTGGACGACGTTGCCGTCTCGGTTGTAATCCATTGTTACAAAACCCTAACTGTGAGTGTTTGGAAAAAGAACAAAAACTACCTAGGAGTGTCCGAACAGGAACATGAACACGTGTTGAGTAAAATTCAGAGAAATAGAAATTTAAATATAAAAAATCATAAAAAAAATGTTTGAAACGGTTTTTGAAACAATTTTTGTGTGTTAGGTGAAAAAGAAAAGATAGATTTGTGTGGAAAAAAATCTTTGGAGAGATTCAATGATTTAGGTAAGAAGATGCATCAGAGGAGTGTGGTTTAACTTAAACAGGGAACGGATCTAGAGATGACTTACAAGATTTATTTTTGTCTTTGTAAGAAACTATGTGATGCGGTGAACTAATACATGATTTCATTTATCCATTAATTAAAAATTAATTAAATTGATGATTAAAAATTAAGTTTAATTGCAATTTTTATTTTTATATATTTTTTATTTTATTTTTGGTCCTATTTTAAAATCCTGTTTTTTTATCCTCAAGTTTGTGTTTTTTAGATTTTAATTTTTTTTTAATTTGAGATTAAACTTTAATGACATGACAGTTAATTTGATGGTGTGTCAAGACCAAATTATATTTTTTATTATTTTTTATTTATTAATTTATAATTAATTTTTATTTTAATAATGTTATAAATTACTATATTTATTTAAAACCAAATTAAAATTATAAATTAACTTACTATACATAAATTATAAATTACTCTTTGATGCAAATTCTCTCTATCACTTACTATATTATAGCTCAGGCTACCATGCGCGACCACTATAAGTTTTTCATGGTAGGAGACCTATTTTTTTCGTTCAAATACATATATGACCATTGGATTAGACGATGGTATGGTGCACCCCAACACACCATATAACACTTCTTCCAAAAATGCATTCCCCATATTTATGTATACCAGCTTTTCGCAGGAAAAGTACATCTGCCAATTAATTTATTATAGTTAATGATTAGTATTGCATTCAAATTCCAATCCAATATTAAAGATAAATAATGTTCAAGATTACATTACAACGTTACAACATTTTTAACGTTTTGCATAAAATATTTGATAAATTCTGAACGTTGAAAAAAAACTACAAGTAAATATTAAATAAAAAAATAAATTTTGATAGATTTAAATACAATATTTTGAATACAGCATTTTTAATACAATATATTTTAAAATATCATAATTTTTTTATTTGATTAATTTTAAAACGTTACTAAATAATTTAAAAGTAAATATTAAATAAAAATAATAATTTAAATAATTATAAATACAATATTTTCAATACAATATTTTTTAGATAGTTTTTAAAACATCACAATCTTTTTTATTTGATCAATTTATAAACGTTATTAAATAAATTAAAAGTAAACATTAAATAAAAAATAATTTAGATAGTATTTAATACAAAATTATTTTTTATAATATATTTTAAAATAATTATATGATTTAAACTACAATTTAATTTATAAATAAATTTCAAAATAAAAGTCTTTGAAAAATCTTATGTGTCAATTATGTGTGAACCATGTTAGAGATGTATTGGTTAACTATGTGTGAATCATGTCAGATATCCAACATATGATGGTCAAATACATCTGAACTATGTCAGAGATTCATTGAAAATGGTCAATTAAGTGTGAACTATGCCAGACATCTAACAGATGATGGCTAATTATGTGTGAATTATGTAAGACATCTAACAGATGATGGTCAATTATGTGTGAATTGTGTCAGAGATGCATTAAAGATGGTCAACTATGTGTGAATCATGTTAGACATCCAACAGATAATGGTCAACTATGTATGAACTATGTAAGACATCCAACCGATGATGGTTAACTATGTGTGAACTATGTTTGACATCCATAGGATGATGGTCAACTATGTGTGAACTATGTCAGAGATCCATAGGATGATGGTTAACTACATGCGAACTATGTTAGAGATCCACGGGATGATGGTCAACTATGTGTGAACTATGTCATAGATCCATAGGATGATGGTCAACTATGTGTGAAGTATGTAAGAGATCCATAGAAGATGGTCAACTCTGCTTGAACTATGGCACAAATGAATAGAAGATGGTCAATACTGCTTCAACAATGGCATAGATGGATGAAAGATGGTCAACTCTGCTTGAACCACACAGATGGATAGAAGATGATCCACTCTACTTTAACTATGACACAAATTGATAAAATATGGTCAACTTTGCTACACTATGGCATAGATGGATAGAAGATGGTCAATTTTGCTTCAACTATGGCACGGATAGATAGAAGATGATCAACTCTACTTCAATTATGGTACATATGGATAGTAGATAGTCTAGTCTACTTCAACTATGGCACTGGTGGATAGAAGACGGTCAACTCTACTTAAACTATGGCACAAATGGATAAAAGATAACTAATTATGCTTCAACTATAGCACGGATGGATAGATAATGGTCAGCTCTGCTTCAACTATGGCACAGATGGGTAGAAGATGATCTACTGTGCTTCAACTATGGGACAGGTGGATAGAAGATGGTCAAATCTGCTTGAACTATGGAATAGATGGTTAGAAGATGGTCAAGTCTGCTTCAACTATGGCATAAATTGATGGAAAATGGTCAACTATGCTTCAACTATGGCACATATAGATAGAAGATGGTCAATTCAACTTAAAATATGGCACAAATTGATAAAAATGATGGTCAACTATGTGTGAACTATGTCACAAATTCATAGGATGATGGTAAACTATGTGTGAACTATGTCAGAGATCCATAGGTCAACTATGTCAGAGATACATAGGATGATGGTTAACTATGTGTGAACTATGTTAGAGATCCATAGGATGATGGTTAAATATGTGTGAACTATGTTAGAGATCCATAGGATGATGGACAACTATGTGTGAACTATGTCAGAGATGCATAGTATGATAGACATCTATGTGTGAACTATGTTAGAGATCCATAGGATGATGGTCAACTATGTGTGAACTATGTCAGAGATTCATAGGATGATGGTTAACTATGTGTGAACTATGTCAGAGATCCATAGGATGATGGTCAACTATGTGTGAACAATGTCAGAGATCCATATGATGATGTTCAAATATGTGTAAACTATGTAAGACATCCAACTGATGATAATCAACTATATGTGAACTATGTCAGAGATCCATGGGATAATGGTTAACTTTGTGTGAACTATGTTAGAGAATTTGGTGAACTATGTGTGAACAATTTTTTGGAGAATTTGGTAGAGCTTTGTTATGCAACTTATGCATGTCCTTTGGGCTTGCAATGTTATGTATTTATAGAGGGAAGAGAGGAGTGAACAAACATGGTAAAGAATCAAGCTTTGATGGCCTTAACAAAATAAGATAAAACAAATTCAAAACTTGCCAAAAATGAGATATCTCTTACCATTTTCGAATTTTCATGAACCTACACAGCTTGTATGTATCTTGCAAGAATATTGGGCCCAAAGTGGATCAAATACATCCCATATGCATAGCCCATGATTTTCTTGTAATTTTATGTAATTTATTTGATTTTAAATTAAATAAAATCAAAATAAATATGAATAAAAATCAAAGCCATATAAAAATGGACTTAGAGGTCCTATAAGATGTTATGGACATGTTTGAAGTCCAAAAAGTAGGCCCATTAGCTCAAAGTTTCAAAATTGCCAATTTAAATTTCATGAATTTCTTCAAAAATCCCCAACTCGTGTAATTCATAACATGCTCAATATTTATCTTTTGAAGATGATCTTGAGCTTTTTGGAAATCCCAAGATGTCCTCTATAATCTCTATGTTGATCATGTTTGCTTTTAAAGACTTTATCTTGATGTAAGTTGCCTTGACAAAAAGTGTCTTTTGTTGACTTTTGAAAATGACCTATAATGTTTTAACTCATATCTTTCAAATGAAGCATTTTTTGGACTTGATAATAAATGTAAAGTTATAGAGAATTGAATTTTCTTCAAAATAGGCTTTTGTTAGGGGGAAATTGATGAAGCATGTGAAAGTTATGTCTGGTCATAATTTAGTTGACTTCTCCTAAGGAAACCATAGTTTGGCAATTCTTGACTTTTGATGATCTGAGGGCTTGAAGAAAAATGTGAGGAAAATTTTTGGGGTACAACAGTTAAATATGTGTGAACTATGTAAAATATGTATTGAATATGGTTAACTATGTGTAAACCATGTCATACATCCAACAGATGATGGTCAACTATGCGTGAATTATATTAGAGATGCATAATATGATAGTCACCTATGTGTGAACTATGTAAGATATACATAGGATATTGGTCAACTATATGTGAACTATGTCAGAGATCCATAGGATGATGGTCAACTATGTATAAACTATGTTAGAGATCCATAGGATGATAGTTAACTACATGCGAACTATGTTAGAGATCTACGGGATGATGGTCAACTATGTGTGAACTATGTTAGACATCCAACAAATGATGGTCAACTATGTATGAACCATGTAAGAAATCCAACAAATGATGGTCAAAAGTGTGTGAACCATGTCAGACATCAAACAGATAATGGTACACTATGTGTAAACTATGTCTGAGAACCATAGGAATATGGTCAACTATGTGTGAACAATGTCAGAGAAGCATGGGATGATGGTCAACTAAGTGTGAACTATGTAAGACATCCAAAAAATGATGGTTAACTATGTGTGAACAAGGTCAGACATCCAACAAATGATGGTCAACTATGTATAAACTATGTAAGACATCCAATAGATGATGGTCAACTATGTGTGAACTAAGTCAGAGATACATATGATGATGGTTAACTATGTGTGAACTATGTTAGAGATACATAGGATGATGGTCAACTATGTGTGAACTATGTTAGAGATGCATTGAAGATGATCAACTATGTGTGAACTATGTCAGACATCCAACAAATGATGGTACTCTATATATGAACTGTGTAAGACATATAACTGGTGATGCTCAACTATGTGTGAATTA